AGGCACAAATCTAGATTTATCATACTTAGATACAAATTTACATGTGTTAGATTTAGGCAAGATAGGGGATGCTTTAACAAAGATTGTTTTAGAACTTGAAGGTGTAGAACATTCATCAATATAGCCTAATCCTCTTTTATCACCATATGACTTACCTCCTTCAAGTATTTTATCTAATTTTTGAGCACCTATTGTTAACATTTTAATAGATTCCTTAGCCCTACCAAGTTCTTGCAAATTATTTGATTCATTCTCTTTGAGCAATTTAATTAATTTATCTTTTTCACCACAATCATGCTCAAGAGTCTTGACTTTATCAATTAATGCATTTTTCTCATCACAATCAAATACATGCTTTTCACAAGGTACATCAATTTTAACAATATTATGATCCTTCTCCTTCAAGCAAGAAATTTCATTTAGCAAAGACTTATTTTCAATAATTGAAGTCTTATATTTCTTTTTAAGCACAACATACTTTGAACTAAGTTTTTCTAAATCAATTGTCATCTCATCAACAAGTTTAAATAATTCATGATAAGAAAGAGATTCAAGAGTTACCTCATCTTCTTGTTCATCTTCTTGTTCATCCTCTTTGTCACTATGAGCCATGAAGCAAAAATTTGCAACTTCTTCATCACTTCCACTTGCACTTTCATCACTATCATCCCAAGTAGCCTTCATTGCTTTCTTCTTGGATTTCTTAGATGATTTGAGGAGAGGACAATCCGTTCTTATATGACCCGGCTTTTTACATTCATAACATATTACCTCATCGTTTTTGCTCTTTTCACCTTTTGACTCTTTTTGATTTGTGAAATGTTTTTTTAATTGTTTCTTCCTTTTAATAAAATTTTTATACTTACGTGTGAAGTAGGCGACATCATCTTCATCAAGGACGTCCTCATCTTCAGAGTCAACTTTGATGGATTTTAGGGCTATACTTTTCTTCTTTTTGGATTCTTCTTCCATGTGCCCGTTCATGGTAATCTCATGTGTCATGAGAGAACCAATGAGTTCATCCAAAGGAAGCTTTGTGAGATCCTTTGCTTCTTGAATCGCCGTCACTTTTGCCTCCCAACTTTTAGGCAGAGACCTAAGAATTTTTCTTACATTTTCGGAGGTAGAATATACTTTTCCAAGATTTTTCAAAGCATTTAAAATATTAGTAAATCTAGTAAACATATCACCAATAGGTTCATTTTCCTCCATTTTAAATAGTTCATAATTATGAACTAACATGCTAATTTTTGTTTCTTTAACTTGATTGGTTCCCTCATGAGTTACTTCAAGAGTTTTCCAAATTTCATATGCCGAAGAACACATACATACTCTATTAAATTCATCATTACTTAAGGCACAATACAGACAATTGATAGCACTAGCATTCAAAGAACATTTTTTCATATCATGCTCATCAAATTCATTTTCTAATTTAGGCACCTCAATATTATTAACAATTTTTATTGGAATGTAAGGACCATTACTAACATTTAACCACAATTGATAATCAACGGATTGCAAATAAATTTTCATCCTAGCTTTCCAACATGTATAATTTGTTCCATCAAAATAAGGTGGCCTAGAAGTTGATTGTCCTTCACTAAAACCATTTTTAGCACGTAGGTTTGCCATAAGCTCGAACAATAAAGTTTAGATAAAAAATCTATAGGAGCAACCTGCTCTGATACCAATTGTTGGATCGGTATGGCAACCCTAGAGGGGGGGTGAATAGGGTTTTAACGATAAAAGTGTTTAAACTTGATTAATTTTTCTAATGATAAAACTTTTTACAAATAAGTAGAAGATGATAATTACTAAAACAAAATAATTCAAGTCAAAACAATAATCAAGTAGAACATGCAATAAACATAATAATAATCTTGAAATTAAATAGGAAAGAGTTAGAGAAAATGACACCGTAGTTTTATAGTGGTTCGGTCAAACTCGACCTACTCCACTCCCCAAGCGCCTCTTGGGAATTTGAATAAAGAACTTTTCCGACTCTTTCCACGGATCAGAGCCAAACCGGTACACCGCTCTTTTTACGAGTTCAAGAGCAAACTCAATCCTTTCAACGACGCAGGATCAAACCGATACAAGTATTTGAGTTTGATAATAACACACCACAACTCTCTCAAAGAGTAGATTTACAATTTGGGATACTGACAACTATTTCCTCACAATATAATAATAATCCCTCTCAAGAATAAGATGAAAAGAAATAAACTTGTAAGCTTGGAGAGAGCAATAAACAATGGAGACTTTGAACAAATGAGGATTGAAGAATGTATGTAAGTTGTGTATTTTAAAAATGTGGGGAAGATGAGTTTATATAGAGGAGAAAAGTGGCAAAATGTAGGATTGAATATTGACCATTGGATTGTGTTAGGAATAATGGAAGGTGGAGATTAAAAGTAATTAAGTAAGAAAATTTTCTAAATTCATTTATTTCAAAATTTTAATATAATAGTAATATAATATAATAATAATAAAAAGTTATGTGAGTAACGGTAAAATGTAATTCAAAATTTATTATAAATATAATAATATAATAATAATAAAAATGATGTGAGTAACTACCAAAATTTTAAAATATAATAATATAATAATATAATATAGTAATAATAAAATTCGATGTGAGTAACGGTTATATTCAAATTTATATTTGTAAAAATAATTTTATTTAGAAATGTAATAATAAGAAAAACTCCACCATGTGTTACTCTTCCAATATTATAAATGTCATACTTTGATATATTTTGATTTGTCCATCATTTTGATTTTGTTGCCACATCATCACGTCGGGTATGTTGTCTCGACTCTAATTTCTTCGTTTTAGCTCTGATTTGAGTAATTGAAAAGTTGTTGTAATCGTTATTCCCGACCTTATACTGTGGACAGTTCAAAAAACTGAAAATAGTTAATAATTAAAAGTAGGTTTGTTATCATCAAAACATCAATAATTAATTCATTGAAATTAATTAATGTGAGATCAAGGGCCAATAAGCCAACAGTTCTCTTGTTTCTCTCTTGTGCAGATAGGTTCTATTGTTAAGTTAGAGCTGCAAGGCAAGGTTGGTTCATCTGCCATTAACTCAACTTATTTGTATTTCAAATGTTTTGCTTCTGCTTCTGAAGATCACCATACAACGACAGTGTCTGGTAGGTTGCACAGGTTAGATGGTTGTGTTGATATTATATCTGGGACTGGCAACTTAGGTAGTATAAATTAAGACTAATGTGTGGTGTTGACATAATACATTTCTGTCTCAAACTGTTGAAGCTATATGACATATGGACCTATGTTGATACATTTTTCATAATATTTTTTGTGGTTCACATGAATTATTAAACGGATTGAAGCCCAGTCCTTTATGTCAATGGCTAAACATCGTTCTAATCATCTATATTATTGCATCACAAAGTTGTTGCATTTATGTCTGTGGTCGTGTACTTCCACCCCATTTCTCACGCATACCAACAAGTTCATTAAAATTCTCTCCCACAACCCACGGAAATGGAGATGATATTCTCGACAGAGAACAATAGATGTTTTAATTGCTGAACTCACTAAACTACAGTCTAATTTCGTTTTTAATTATGAGTGTATCATTTTACAAACAAATATGAATGTGCTTTCTATCATATATGAGTGTATCATTTTACAAAAATTTTGAGTATATCAACACACTATTAGACATGAATTTAGCATTCTATCAAACTTCCAAGTACATCAACAGTTGATTATCAAATATGAGTGCATAGTTTTATCAAAATTTCATATACATTAGCAGCTTATCAGACATGGTGTACCACCATCAATAATTATCATTTTAATTTTTTTTGTAAATAAATTTATAAATACTATTTGCGAACCTGGTTTCCTTATTTTGTTATTTATCATATATATTAAAAAAAGATCAAGCAAAATTTTGAAAATTGAAAAAAAAAAATAGTTTACAAAATTTTTATAGAACTTGACTAAAAATGTTTTTTTTAACGAAAATGTAACAGATAATTACAATATATATATATATATGAAACAAAACGTAAAATAATTATCAAAATATAGTTTTTTTTTTTTTTAAGTTACATTTTGACTAGGTATTCGAATATTAAAATCAAAATATTTGCAAAAAAATTGTGAGATCAAAATCAAAAAATAAAATAATTTAAGGCATAAATTAATATTTTGGAAGTGTGGACGGATTTTAAACTAAATTTGAATCCAATTAAGACGACAACTGTAACAGAGAGCCCTAGATCTCTGTTGCCGTTCTTAAGCCCTAATTCCCAAGCCTCTCCGTCTCCTCCAAAGTCCTCGGAAACCTGTGTCTCTGCTTGCTTATTCTTCGCACGAACAATGGTACCTTCTCTTTCTCTCTTCCTCTCTTCCTCTCTGTCTGTTTCGTATCTGAATGATTGTATGCTTATTTGATTGCTATCGACTGATTGTGAACCTCTTGTAAACTGGCAGACTGCAGAGAAAGTAAATCCCAAGGCGTACCCTTTGGCCGACGCACAACTTACAATCACCATTCTTGATCTTGTTCAACAAGCTGCTAACTACAAGCAAATCAAGAAGGGCGCCAATGAAGGTAGCCTCTCTTCTTGTACCTTTGTCTGCACCATCTACTGTTACGAAACACACGGATGAGCTTTAGTTCATTTTCGTATTTCAGTGAATGATTCTTTGTTTTGTGCCTTTTTCAGCAACCAAGACGCTGAACAGAGGTATATCTGAGTTCGTTGTGATGGCCGCAGATACTGAGCCGCTTGAAATCCTCCTTCATCTTCCGCTATTAGCCGAGGATAAGGTACTTTCATCATTAACAGTTGTGCGGAGAAGATTTTGTGTCTGATTGGTATCTTTATGCTTCCTTTTATTTATTGGCGTTCATTTGGTTGTTTGATGTATTTTGTGGGGTTTGAGGCTACATGTACCAAGAGAAGGGTGTGAAAAATTGTTAATACCCATGTTTCTTGACCTGCCAAAGTGGCTGTAGCTAAATCAAATGCGTGAAGTTAACTGGCCGGTTGTTGTTCTCTGTCAACGAATCTGCTTACCGAACTTCCTACATTTTTATACCTTTCCTTCAAAATCTGTTTGGTTAACTTTTCCACTTCAAATGACTAATTTATCATTGCAAGGAGGGGGAAGTGTGAAATGGCATAGGGTTTAGCTTTTCTATGAGACCCTTCTCTCACATCAAAATTTCTTTCACGTTCCAGGCAGGCTGCATTATAGTTTTTCAGCAGTTTGCATCTATTGATAGATCAGTAGATCGACTGACTCCAACTGTGTTCAACAACCCTCTTATTGTCAATCTAATTGACATACCCCAATAATCTTCTCTAGGACTCTTTGATAACTTCATAGTGGTGTTCATTTTTTGGTAGCTTCTATTTCTGGATACTTGTATATAGACGAGAAACACAATTTCCCATTCCGTTTCTATTTGAAATGTTATTAATTCGAAGAACTACTACCAACAAAAGCCATTGACTGCCTCCAGTATGGTTTCCTGCCAGCAGACTGGCTTTTGAACATTGCTACAGAATGCTACTAAAAGTATAAAAAACTGAACTTTGTCAAAATTTGATTATTGTATGTTTCCATTCAACGTTTTGATGTCTGGTCATGGTAACAATGGAAATAGGATTCTGTTTGATTTTGCAGAATGTCCCCTACGTGTTTGTCCCGTCTAAGCAAGCACTTGGCAGAGCTTGTGGAGTTACAAGACCTGTTATAGCTTGTTCTGTGACAACAAATGAAGGAAGCCAATTGAAGTCGCAAATACAGCAACTCAAGGTAATTATACAATATCTGACTGTTAATATTTCCCATCTTTTCTAAATGTCCTCCCTGATGAATTGTTATGGCCATTCTTTTTTATATATAGGATGCCATTGAGAAGCTCCTGATTTGAAGATATAGTCAATGGTGTGATGGGCTTCTTGTTTCTTGGTGGTCGCTCCATTGAGGCTTTGACTGATGTGGGTTGTGCAAGTGGAGGAATATGTTTCAATTGTATCAACCACTAAAATTTTCTTTTCCAAGAGATGCGATATTTATTGAGAAATGATAATGGATGTTAGTTACTTGTCTGGTAGTCATATTTCCATTCAGTTAGATTTTTGTTAGATCTCTGACATTAAATGTTTGACAAATATGAATGTAATAGAATCTCTTAAAGAAAAATGTATCAACACAAAATAGTAGTGTGAATGAAGAGAATAGGTGCTTCGTTAGCATTGTGGGTGAAAGAGACTAAAAATGTGCTTACACAAGGGTTACGTACGGTTTCTAAAGCTTACTATTAAGAATCCAGCCACTACAATGTAAGGCCGTAAACAAAAGTGGGCGTGCCGGAGTGGTTATCGGGCATGCGGGCTCTGCATTTTGTATTTCATATTAAGTGAACAAACTGGGTAGCCAAAAACTTGATTTTTGCTCTCACTCAACTAAAAACACTCTTCTTAACTTAAAAAGTACGAACACTAACAAAAAAAATGGCATATATATCATCCATCAAATACAAGTAAATCTGTTAGAGGTAGTCCATCAATCATATGGGTCTGGCGCTGTCTCTCTCTATCCTTTAGAAACTTCATTTCTGCTCCCATATATTGTGCCATTTTACAGATCTCCTCTGATTGTGGATGGGATACATCACCAGATGAAAAGCCATGCAAGTATAAAGAAGCACCAAAGTTACCAACATCTACCCAACTGAATCCAATCTCTTTCTTCACTCCCTTCTCTTTCATTCCCTTCCTCACTTCAGCAACCTTTTCCCAATCTCCCTTTTGAGCATACAGGTTGGACATCAACACGTACGACCCCGATTCCAATGGTTCAGTCTTCATCAAAGCATCAGCCATTCTCTCCGCCATGTCCACATTCCCATGTATCCTACAAGCTCCAAGCAAGCTTTGTAATGCAGATATCCCTGGCCCTCCTGGTATGCGTGCTAGCATTTCCTGGGCCTCTTCCAACTGTCCTGCACGACCCAACATATCCACCATACAAGAATAGTGCTCCGCTTCTGGCTCTATCATATGATCGTTGATCATCATATTGAAAAATTGACGACCCATGTCAACCATCCTGTTCCTGCTACATGCTGCTAAGATAGACAGGAAGATTACTGCATCAGGATTTATCTTTTCCTTTTTCATCTCTTCAAACAGCTTCATCACTGAATCATAATCTCCATGTTGTGCATAGCCTGAGATCAACGCTGTCCAAGCGAATGGACTTCTTTTGGATGCTTCATTGAAAACTCTTTGGGACTCTTGAATGCTCCCTCGTTTCGCATACATGTCTAGGAGGGCACCTGAAATGATAGGGCCAGAGTTTAATCCTACTTTGATCAAATGAGAATGGCATCTTTGGCCATGCTTTATAGATATGTCTTCACCACCACTGATTGCATTCAGGACACTCCCAAATGTGTACTCGTTTGGCTTCGATTCCATTATCGCACACAGAAATGTCTCTAAAGCTTCTTGACATAATCCATTTTGAGCATACCCAGAAATTAAAGCATTCCATGATATTATCTCTCTATATGGAAGCTCCATGAACACTCTTGATGCATCTTGCATCGACTCGAATTTAGCATACATGGTGATCAGACTATTGCCGACACACAACTCCGTTACAAAGTCAGCTTTGATACATAATCCATGGACCATCAGTCCCTGTTCCACCATATTCCTCATTGTAATTGCATGAAGCAATCCAATAAATGTTACATCATTTGGATACACTCCATCTAGTCTCATCTCATTGAACAAAGAAACTGCATCTTCTTCATACAATGAGATCATAGTCGTCCATGAGATCACATTGCGGTCATCTATTATTTCAAATACTGACTTCGCATCTTCAATGACCTCACACTTGGAGTACGTCGAGATCAGAACATTACCAACAGAGGTATGAGTCTCAAATCCAATTTTCACAGTCAAACAATGAATCTGTTTTCCAAGCTCCAGGTTTCTTTCATGACCGCAGACAGAAACAGCTCCAGTGATAGCCACATTGTCAAACTTCACTCCTTCTCTCACCATTTGAATGAACACCAAAATAGCTTCTAACCCATGATCTCCCTCTTGTGCATAACCAGTAATCATCGCACTCCAAGACACCCGATCCCGGCTCCGCATTTCATCAAACACTTGTCGGGCATCCACAAGATGTTCCCATCTCGAGTACATTGTAATCAGAGCATTTCCAACAAAAACATCACACTGGAATCCACATTTCAGGACAAGAGTATGCAACTGCCAACCAAAAATAAAATCTTCTCCATCTAAGCAGAAGGCAAGTGCCGTAGTATATGTTACAGGATCAAACTGAACCCCATTTAAGTTCATCCAAGCAGCAAAACTCAAAGCGCTCTCACTCTTTTGAAACCCGGAAAGAATAGTATTCCACGAAACAATATCTGGGTCATGTAAATTCTCGAAGACACTAAAAGCCCTCTCAAGCTGCCCAGATTTACAGTACATATTCATCAAGGAGTTAGAGACTGAAATATTCAAAACAAGCCCAGAAGAAATAGCAAATCCATGAATTTGTCTACCTAGTTTAGGGACCCCACAACAGGCTTTCAGAGCGAGAGCCAAAGTGAACTCATCGGCATTCCCATCAAGATCCCACCGAATATGCTTCTTGAACAAGCGAAGGGCTTGAAATGCCTCGTTTCTGTGCAAGTAATCGAGTAAAACGCGGTTGGTAGAGGCTGCATTCGGAGGAGGACTTTGATCAAACAGGTTGTGGTCATGTCGGAAAGAGCGGAAAAAGTTGAAGCTTGGTAATCGTTGTTTGGATTTGACATGAAAGGATTTGAAATTGAGATGGCGGGTAAGCATGAGGACAAAGGTAGTTAATCGTTGAAATCAAGTGGCAGCGGCGAGGAGCCGATCAGCCAAATCGAAGCGATTTTTTGGCTCCAAATTTAACGATTCGGTCACTTCTTAAACTAGGGCTATGGGTTGGCCTATATTGGGCCTTGAAAAAGCCCAAACAGCTTCCAGTCCTCACAAAAATAAATAAAGGGTAGCCCACAACTATCAAGCTTGGGAAGGGCCTCCTCACAATTATTTTTATTTTAAATTTATTTCATCAAAGATAAAGCTAATAATACCGGTACGATATTGTCTACTTTGAAACTTTGATTTGAACTTCTTCAAAAGGTTTCATACAAATAGAGATAGTATTCCTCACTTATCAACTCATGATCTTCCACTAAATTAATTAATGTAGGACTCACTCCCAATAATCTTCAACAATAATTTAATGGGAAAATAATTTTTGGAGAAAGAAAAACGTCATTTTATATAAATTTTTAAAACTTTCTTGAAACATTAATATATTATTAAAACTTGAAAAGGGTAAGAATAGTTTGGAATCTTTTGGAAATATTATGATTATTTTTAAAAACCTTTTTTAAAGCTTTAGAAATATGATTGAGTCAAAAGGGAATCATATATTCCACAAAAAGATTCTGCAAGAACCTCACAATAATAAATTAATTAATACATTATCACGTGAATTAAAATAAATGGCTTTTAATTTGGATGGTCCTTAGTGGAGCTGTATTATTATTTTCATAATATTATTATAATGGGCGGTGAGGATCTGATAGTTCCACATTGTTTGGTGTGTGAGTATCTTAATGGACCCCACATTTTCAGGTGCAAGGCATGTTTTTGGATATTCCCCACTAAGCTGCCACGTGACAAACGGCCACAACATCACGTGCGTTTCGGCAAAACCCACTGAATTATTATTCCAAACAGCGTTTTGAATTATGTATATATACACTTATTTTCCCTGGGACATGGGAATGTCAACGGTCGTCATTAGTCAACGGTTGTTTTCTTCTACTCCCACTTAGGCCAATTTTAGGCCAATTTGGCATAATTAATTAATGTCCTTGTTGAAGGAAGATGATGGGAATTTGGAAAATATATAATGAAAAGATATTTAATCGGTAAATTTGGAGAAAGTGGTGCATTATTGTTACACTTTTGTCGGAAAAAAGCGTATTGAATTTTTGATGTTCCATTGCTTTCTCTGCAAAAGTTGCACACTTGCAGCCCATGTTTTGCATATGAGATCAAAACTTAGCAGAAAGTGTGTGTATGCATGTATATATGTGTGTGTATATATGTATATATGTATAAATAAACACTTGCTAGTTGAACCATTATCACTATTCAAATCTAATTGTGAGTCGATCATAGTCAATGACATTAAAAGTTAACGCCTAAAGAGGTCGCTGCCAAAAAGTCTCTCTCCAATGTTCTTTTGGTAAAATGAAATAAAAACCTCTCATTTCTTTTAAATCCATTCCCTCACGTTGTTAATAAAGAAGTAAATGTATGAGATCCTACGTCGGTTGGAGAGAGGAATGAAACATAACTCTCTACTAGCGGTAAACTTGTAAACACATTTATTAATGATTGCTCATTAATTTTGAATACATTAAACGGAGGCATCACTGTAATATATATATATATATATGAAGAACTTAGTAAAAAGATTATAACTCCATATTTTCATTTTTCAACATCTTATTAACTAATTCATTTTATTTTGAAAAAGTCTCTTTTAAAAAGTGTTTATTTAATCACTTACATGGGTGATCCTAACCCCTAATGATGAAGTAAATTAAAATTTTCTAGTATGTTAATGGTCGATCTTTTGTTGTCGATATAAACAACAAATACTCGTGTTCTTCGATTATATCGGTTTAGGGTTGAACTTTCAATATTCTAGCTCATCTTTCTTCATTCAAAACAATAGATATTCATGTTTTTGATTCTAAAACTTTTATTTCATCTTTTGTTGTTGAAGTTTCAATATCATAGCTCATTTTGATCGTGATTAAAGACAAAGGAGACAAATAAGTTGAGTTCGCCCAAACCAAACCTCAATAATTAAAGCCTAACATATATATCAGAGCCACATGTATCCACAAGAACAACCCGACCAATAATATTCCACAGTGGAAATCTCCATTTGGAATTTTGGGGAAGATGGAATGAAGAATTGTGAGTGTGTTTGGGGGTTTGTGGGGTACCAAAAGCACTTCTGAAAAACACCTCCTTTCCTTTAATCTCCACAAAAACAATGATCTGAATTTTGAGATGGACGAAAATGTAAAGTTGTTGATAATTTGGCAGGCTCTAACTGGCCCTCTCTTGCTTCTTCTACGTTCCAATCTTTTCTTTCCACCCACCATCTTCCCACCCTCTTCGTTCATCCCACATGAGTCAGAGAGAAGAACGAAACATTTCTTATAAACGTGTGAAACCCTCTTTCTAATAAACACGTTTTAAAATTGTGAAGTTAATGACAATACGTAAAAGGCTAAAGCGAACAATATTTGCTAGCAGTTACTTGAGTTGTTAAAAATGGTATAAAAGTTAGATACAAGTAGTGTGCAACGAGGGTATTTGGTCCTAAGGGTGAACCATTTCTTATAAGGGTATGAAAACTTTTCTTTAGTACACATGTTTTAAAACTATGAAACTGATGGCGATATGTAACGAGTTAAAACGGACAATATCTGTTAGAGGTGGGCCATAATGGTGTGGAAACCTCTCCCTACTATGCATGTTTTAAAACAGTAAGATTGACTACGATATGTAACAAACCAAAATGGACAAGATCCATTATTACACCACCAGAATTATTTCATATCAGTTCGATCATACAATTCTAAGATAATGTAATCAACATACCACCACCTAAGTAGAGACATGACGTTTTAAAATGGAGAGAAATGAGTAGATAGGTGGTATACAAGTCGAAAACAAATTGAAAACCTTAATGAAAGATATGATTACAATTACTTTTGAAGATGCAAAAACTGAATAAACAACTTATAATTTAACCAAAAAGAAAAGAAGAACAAAAGTCCCAAATCAATTTCTATCAGCCTAATGCTACAAAAACAGTGACTTTGTCCCTCCCTCTGCTTCTCCAACTTGCAATGCGGTGTCCCCTCTCATTCCTTTCAGAATCTCTGCCTACAAAACCAACAACTCCCTCACCACTTTCCACACTCACTTTCAACCCTTTCAAAAGCTAAACCTTCTTTTACCTCATCTTCTCCATAGCTGCTACCTGCAAAGCTTCAGAAATGGTTGGTTCTTTTGAGAAACAGAGCTCCAATGGAGTCTTACTTTCATTTTCACCTCCATTTTTGTCTTATCTCTAATGGGTGAGCTTAAAAATTGTGTCTTTTTTTCTGTTTGTTAGGATGGGAAGCTAAGTTGTAGAGTGGCTGATGCTGTGGATTACAAAGGCTTTCCTGCAGATAAGTCTAAGACTGGTGGTTGGATTCCTGCTGCTCTTATTTTAGGTGTGTAACTATTTAGCTCTTTAAGCTATTATGAAATGGCATTCATCTTAAAGTTCTTTCTGATATGATCTTATTAGCAGAGATTTAACCCGGTATGATATTGCATGCAAATTTTCCAGGGAAAATATGGAGATGAGATTTGTTTTTTTATGATTCATTAGATTCTTTTTCAACTACAAAACTCCAAATTTTAAAAAGTGGAAGAACAGAAGAATTGAGAGGGACATAACGTAGAAGGCTGATTATTGGTGATGCCTTTTTGTGTTCATATGGGAATAAATGACATAATCTTATGTCACTTCATCACAAGCTTTTTAAAATAATATAACTTTTTTTTTTTTTTTCCTTTTCTTTGAAAAGATAAAGATTCAGTTTGAAAAATGTTTGATAATTGGAGGATTGCTTGTTCCTTGTGAGCAAATCTGGAGTTCTTGTTCTCTTCTTCGCTGTTCCAAAAGAACTGAACCTGTCTTTCCTTCCAAAATCATTGCTTTCCTCAACAGGACAATAATTTCAAGTTTCTTTAATCACATGTAATTATAACTTGATGTGAGATCCATGGACTTTATAAAGTAGAAACCTTTCTTTACTTTAGCGTAAGCGTTTATTACATTGAGTGGAAACTCAAAAAGGAAAGCCTAAAAGAATAATATGTTCTAGCTGTTACACTTGAATTTACTTAAACATTATTTAAGTTTATGGAGGGTTTCTTCTTCTTTTTTTTAATTCTTGAATTTATGTAATAGTGCAACCCATCGTTGGTAAATATTGTCTGCTTTGACCCGTTATGTAATTTCCAGTCTCACAGTTTTAAAAAAGTTTTCTTATAAAGGTGTGGAAACTCCTCTCTAACATACGCATTTTAAAATCCTAAAGCTGACACCTATAAGAAATTGGCCAAAACAGACAATATCTACTAGCCGTGGACTTCGACGTGTTACAAATGATATCAAAGCCAGATAATGTGTCAGCAAAGACGTTGGGCCCCAAGAGTGTGGATTGTGAAATCCCACATAGGTTGGAGAGCTAAACTAAACATTTCTTACGAAAGTGTGGAAACCTCTCTCTAACATATGTGGTTTAAAACAGCAAAATTAATTAATTTGTTTATTAAGAGAAATAAAAACAGTGACTTTTTTCAATTTATTATTCCTACTCCTTCAAAACAAACTTCCACTGAAATTTCTTTTAGAAAGAAGAAAAATATTAGAACCAGTAAGGAGGTTCCTGCAAAAAAATTTAAAAATCAAAACTTGGAGAATAAACCTTCCTTACATACAAGAATGATGGATGAGAAGGATGAAGAGCTTCATTGATCATAACTTGGTGTTCATAAAAAGAATGAAACTAAACCTACAAATAAAAAATTTTAATTTTCAGGTATTGAAATATGTGAAAGGCTGTCAACAATGGGAATAGCAGTGAATCTTGTGACGTACATGAGTGGGGTAATGCATCTACCCAGCGCTGCTTCAGCCAACATCGTTACAGATTTCATGGGCACTTGCTTTCTCCTTTCTTTGCTTGGAGGCTTTCTTGCTGATTCTTTCCTGGGCCGATACTATACCATTCTCATCTCTGCTTCAATTCAAACACTGGTATGTTCATCAACCTCACTTAAATCAATCATTTCAAGAACGTATAGAGGGTGTTGATTAAATTGTATGCCACCATAGGGAACTGCTGCACTTGCAATTACAACAAAACTGCCACAGCTTCGTCCGCCGCCGTGTGATGGCACCAAGACCTGTAAGGAAGCAAATGGGTTTCAAATGGGAATTCTGTACCTGACTCTGTATCTCATTGCTTTGGGGACGGGTGGACTAAAATCAAGCATTTCGGGCTTTGGAACCGACCAGTTTGATGAGAAAGATGAGAAGGAAACGACTAAGATGGCCTTTTTCTTTAACAGATTCTTTTTCTTTATCAGCACTGGAACACTGATGGCAGTCACTGTGCTGGTTTACATTCAAGATGAAGTGGGTCGGAGTTGGGCTTATGGGATTTGTTCTGTCTCAATGTTTGTCGCCATTTTGTTGTTCTTGTCGGGGACCAAGCGGTACAGATACAAGAAGAGCATGGGAAGCCCTGTAATTCACATTCTCCAAGTCATTTCTGCTGCAATCAAAAACAGGAAACTGGAGCTTCCTCACAATGTTGCTTTGCTTTATGAGGATTCTTCTGAGCATGCTACAAGAATCCAGCACACAAAACAATTCCAGTAAGTTCATTGATTAGCTGCAATTTTCAAGTAATGTCATTAATTTGTGATTCCTTTTCCTATAGGTTCTTGGACAAGGCTGCAATTGTTGCAGAAGGAGATTCAGCTCAAAATCCATGGAAGCTAAGCTCAGTGACAAGAGTGGAGGAGGTGAAAATGGTGGCAAGACTGCTGCCTGTATGGGCCACAACCATACTCTTCTGGACTATATATGCTCAGATGATCACTTTCTCAGTTGTACAAGCATCCACCATGGAAAGAACAATAGGGTCATTCCAAATCCCAGCAGGCTCTCTCACTGTCTTCTTTGTTGCAGCTATACTCATCACACTGGGTGTTTATGACCGTCTTATTATGCCTCTATGGAAGAAATGGAAAGGAAAACAAGGTAAACTAAGATCCAATTACAAAATCCTAATCTGTACTTCAAGGAATCCTGAGTAGCTATGTTGCTATGTGACAGGTTTCACAAACATACAGAGAATGGCCATAGGCCTTGTCCTGTCAATACTTGGAATGGCAGCTGCAGCAGTAGCCGAGAGGAAACGGCTAGCAGTGGCAAAAGCAGTGGGTGACAACACAGCTACTCTGCCTGTAACGGTGTTCCTGTTGATCCCACAGTTTTTCTTGGTGGGTTCAGGTGAAGCCTTCATATACACTGGGCAGCTTGATTTCTTCATAACCAATTCTCCCAAAGGGATGAAAACTATGAGTACCGGTCTGTTCCTCTCCACTTTATCACTCGGGTTTTTCATCAGCAGTTTCTTGGTTTTGGTTGTGAAGAGGGTGACAGGAAACGATGGACAAGGTTGGCTCGCAGACAATATAAACTACGGCAGACTTGACTGCTTCTATGGACTACTGACCATATCAAGTGTGATCAACTTTGTTGCTTTTCTGGTTTGTGTTAACCGGTACATTCCGCAAGAAGGCAAAGACTCGCAGAAGAACCACAACTTGGCTGAAGAGAAATGCTAGTGGGAGCTATGAAAACTAAGTAATGCCTTGTGCTTTTCCTTTCAATTCTCTCCTACACTAAATTATGATGTAAAGTTGGATTGAGAATGTATCATGCTTTATGTGTAAAGTATTGTCTGTTTCAAAGATGAATCCAATGTCACATTCCTAATTTTCAGTCATCTCTGCCATAAATCGTTTTCTTTAGCATTTCCATCATATCTAACTCTTTCTTGTACATGCTCTCCTTCTCCCTCCGTTTAGTAACACTGCTAACTTATTTTAAAGTTGTTGGGAGAGGAGTCCAAGATTGATCACGGGTTTATAAGTAAGGAATACGTCTCTTGAAGCCTTTTGGAAAAACTAAAAGTAAAACCATGAGAGCTTATACTCAAACTGAATAATATCATACTATTATGGAGAGTCGTGGTTCTAACATGGTATCAGAGTCATGCTCTTTAACTTAGTCATGTTAATAGAATGTTCAAATATCGAATAAAGAGTGTACTTTGTTCGAGGGCTCCATAGGTCTCAGGAGAAGCTCTATGATGTACTTTGTTCGAGGGGAGGATTGTTAAGAGAGGAGTCCCACATAGACTAGTTAAGGGGTTGATCACGAGTTTATAAGAAATACATCTCCATTGGTATAAACTCTCCTAAGGAGATCAAAAGTAAAGTCAAGAGAACTTATACTTAAAGTGGACAATATCATATCATAATGGAGGTTCGTTATTCCTAGCAAGAAATTGATCCCCATAACAAAGTAGCGTAAAAATGACAGTATATGTCACATGGGGTTGGGTTTTCGTCTCGCCAAAATACTGGTGGAACATAGAATTCTTTCATGCCAAAAAGACAGGAATCCACACGTTGGTCCAATGGGAAGATTTTGGAGAATATTGAATGGTCGGTAAAGGCAAGTGGACAGTAGAACACTGATGTGATGTGAGAGAAAAGTTCCAATTGTTTTGAAACAAAACAAAAGAACAGTGTTTCTGAAGGAAATAAAAACTTGGAATGTTTGGAGGGATAACTGAGCCCAAATATGTTTCAGGAAAAAGAAAGGTAACAATATTTGATTTAAAATGATGATGACGATGATAGTAATACTAGTAAGCAAGTTTGACTATCTTCTTCCCAATATTATTGCCTTGGAACAATCCGATGAAAGATGTGGGAATGCTGTCCACACCCACTGATATGTCTTCGACAGCCTTAATCTTGCCGGAGCGAAGGTAGCCGACGGTCCTGGATATGAAATCTGGAAAAACATCCCAATAATCAATCACCAAAAATCCTTGGATTGTGATCCTTTTGTATACAATGTCCAACATGTTTGGGCCCTCTCGTTTTGCTGATTTTGTGTACTCTGAAATAACACTGCACGCAGCCACTTTTCCAAATGGCTTCATGTTTGCAATGGCTGCCTCTAGCATCTCGTCCCCCACGTCGTCGAAGTAAGTATTAATTCCTTTGGGGAAGTACCTGCACAATGCTTCTACTGTTTTGAATGTGTTGGGTATTTTTAATGTTCAAATGAATGGAAGAACTCAGATTTTTTTGTTGCTTGTAGTTGAATGCTTCGTCAAAGCCAAGCTTCTCTTCCAGCAATGCCACCTGCCATTACAAGCTTCTCTTCCTGCAATGGCACCTGCCATTAGTGTAAGTTGGAAAAAAAAATGTGTTTGTTTTCGTACGTTTATTATAGCTAAATTTTCAAAACAAAAACTGTTTTCTCTATCTCGTCTTCCACTGATCAAAAAGTTAACGACGAGAAGCAAAATTAATCAATCACGAAGAAGGATCGTTAATATTGATTGTTTGTGAAAAGTTGGACCTTTTGATCAGAACCAGCACATCCAACAACATAGCAACCATGCAGCTTAGCAAACTGTCCAACTAAATTCCCAACAGAGCCAGATGCTGCAGACACAAACACTTTGTCCCCTTCCTTAACCTTCCCTACTCCAAACAGACCAGTGTAAGCAGTGTGGCCACTCATCCCTGATCAACCACAAAAGGAAAATAAGGGTTTCTTCACAGCATATTATATTCTTCCAAAAGTGTTTTATAACCTTTTTTTTTTTTACTTAAAAACGGTAAAAGTGTAATGATTCAAACCCACCGCTTGTAGATATTATTCTTTTTAAGCTTCCCTTCAAGGTTTTGAAACACGTTCCCAAAGGACAAATTTCCACACTTTATAAGCAATGTTTCATTCCACTCTCCAATCGACATGGGATGTCACAACCCACCCCCTAGGGGGCCATTGTCCTGACTGTCACATCGCCGGTGTCTAGCTCTAATACAATTTATAATGGCCTAAAGCACTACTAGTAAATATTGTCCTCTTTAGGCTTTCCCATCAAATTTTAAAACGCGCCACAATTTAGAAGGAATACAAAAATTGATTCCAAACAAGCCATACAACTCACCTAAAATTCCTAGATAGTATGTTAAGGGAAATCCCAAAGTATCCAACTTTGTTAGAGTGCATTCTTCAGCTTTAACAACGCTGTATTCCGCCCAATGTATGAACCCCTTAACCAAGTCCACCTTTTGAAATTCAGAGTCGCTTGAAGCCACAACTTCTGCTACACCATAAGCACTAATCGCCTGTTCCAAACAAACCCAAAAGCCACCAAAACACGAACATAATCTTAAGACATATGCCAACTATCCAAAGGTAGAAACTTTGAATACTCTTACCTGTCCAGGAGTGATAAAACGAGTGGCAGATGAAACTGCATGTGAAGAGCTGTGGAGCTTCATATGGTTGATCTGATATGGGTCAATGGAAACACACAGATTTTTTAGGACAATATGGCCGGGCTTAACAGAGAGATGAGGAGGTCGGGATTTAAGCTCAAAATCTGAGGCATGTGGGAAGCCATCGATAGGGAGTTTTATTGTTAATCACTTGTTCCTCCATGAATTAGAGTGTCCTGATATTTCAGAGCAGAGGGAAAGAGATAAATATGGGAGCCGCAATGACAAAAGGGTGTGAGCCGTAGAAGAGGATGGAGAGTTAAAGCTCTGGATCCCTAGATATACTCTGCCTAAAACGAAGAAATGGCATCTCAATTATTAGTCATCATTTTCCCTACGGTCCACTTTTTGGACCGCAAACCTTCACGTATCTCTATCATCATACGTTCAAATTATCATTGTTGCCTTAAGTATACTCACAACTTTAAATTTAAGATAATTTGTTCAATCAATTTTCTCTACATGCTGCGTAATACATCTTTAATTTTCAAAGAAACATCATTTAAGTGGCAACTCAAGTTTTTAATATATACTCGATATTGGAGTTATGGTCAAAAGCATAGTTATACTAAAAGAAATTTAGTAGTTAGTTACCAATTTTCATCATACATCTAAAAGTCATCCTATCCACTGGTAAACTAACAAGTCAGTGAAGCAGTTTTGTGAGATCCCACGTTGGTTGGAGAAAGAAACGAAACATTCTTTATTAGGGTGTGAAAACTTCTCTTTAGTAGACGCGTTTTAAAACTGTGAAGCTAACAACGATACGTAATTGGCCAATTCGAACCATATCTATTAGTCGTGTGTTTGGGTCGTTAAAGGTTTACTTAGTCTGGGTAGAGTTGTAAGAAGGTTGTGCTTGTTGGAAGGGATAAGGTTAAGGATGTGATTGAAGTAGGAGTATATCTCACACGGAAATGTAGGTGTCCAACTCAGCCCCAAAGCTAAAAATAACAATCAATATTGAAGTTGGCAACATTTTCGTTTTCCTAAGAGTTGAAAATGGATAAAAAGTCAACATAATCCATTAAAAGTCAACATAGGGATAAAAAGGTCATTTTGTGGGCTTCTCTTCTGAGCTCTCCTCAAGGTTTATAAAAACGTCTGTTATAGAAAGGTTTCCATCCTACTAAGAACTGATGTGAGATTTCACACCTATTGTATCAACATAGCATACACTTTGCTCTACAGACATCTCTAGATTTAAAAAAACCTCTCACTTTTACAAACCAAACGACCTCTATTGTCAACCGGTATGCCCCCCGATCTACAACTTTCATAGCATTAGCTATCCATTGAGTGAAAATTAACTATCAAAATTGTTCTCATTAACTTTCTTTCTCCAAAATGTAAAAATAAGAAATGGGGAAAACAAAAATGAACATGCAATCTCAAGATACTTTTGTTTGCTAACTTAACTATAAGCAAAACTTGATGATCGCAGAACAGTCAAAATATATACAAAATATGAATTAGGACTCAAAGGCTTCAAAACCTCTGCTTAATTGGGTCTACTCCAATGAGAATTCTTCAAGCCATATTAGAACCTCATTTCTCTGCCAACAAAACCCCAAATAAGTGCTTATTTGTATGGAACAGAACCTTAAAATCTGTCCTTGAACTCAATATGCGATCAAACAATGTCAAGCCATAACTAGAACAACATATGATGGAAAGGAAAATGGAGTTGGGACTTACCATTATAAAGTTCCATGTTCGTCCAGGGTCGTTATACCGAGCAAGCAAACAGCCGTTACCGGGTTTGAGACCATCCTTTATGAGACTAGACCGCAACTGTTTGGCCTTCTCTTGCACAATCTCTTCGGTAGGTTTTCCACTGAATTTCAACACTGCAGCAGTTCCTCCTTCAACCTTTCTCAAGCCAATTGTGTCTTGTTCAGGATCTGGTAAACTGAACAAAGTGAAGTGATGATGCTCATTAATAGCTTAGCAGCATTAGTAATGGTTTGAGTTTGGCTATAACTTCCTGTGTTCAGTTCTTCCATAGTTTCATTTCAAAGGATTTGAAGAGGGATCAGTTAACCACACCTGTATAGATCTTTCTCTGAAGGAAGAACTATTTGAATGGAGACTTTGGGTGATTCAGAGTCAAATGTTTGGGTGAATACAGGAGTAGTCATGGCTATCTTCTCCTTTGCTGAGTTTTTCCCAAATATATACCTGTGTTTATTGAATCACATAGTATCATCCTCCTCAACAATAAGAATTATACTTCCTACTATTACAAAAAAAAAAATGCAGGATTTTATAGGTGCTGTGCTGCAGTGGCCCAACATATTACTTAAGTGAGTTCGGAATACCTTCTAAAATCACTGAGAAAGGTAATTCAAACGTGACCCAACTAAAGGAAAAGAGCCAAGCCCACTGCTAGCAGATATTGTCTACTCTAGGCTTTCCCTTTCAGACTTCCCATCAAGGTTTTTAAAACGTGTCTGTTAGAGAAAAGTTTTCACACTCTTATAAAAAATGATTTGTTCCCCTCTCCAACCGATGTGGGATCTCACAATCTGGCCCAGCATTCTCGCTGGCACACCGCCCGGTGTTTGGCTCTGATACTATTTGTAATAGTCTAAGCCCACCACTAGCCGATAATGTCCTCTTTGAGCTCTTTCCCTTTCAAGCTTCCCCTCAAAGTTTTTAAAACGCGTCTGCTAAGAAGAGGTTTCCACACCCTTATAAAAAATGTTTCATTTCCTTCTCCAACAACCAGTATGGGATCTCACAATCCACCCCTTCGGAGCCCAGCGTCCTCGCTGGCACTCGTTACCCTCTCCAACTGACGTGGGATCTCACAAAGACTTACCCAGCAACTGTATTGAATCCAGCAGACCCAGCGAGTTTATCTCCACTTGTTTCAACAACAATAAATGGTGCATATTTCCTCACCTGAAGAAAACATTTACATTGAATCAAACCTCTAAGATTACTAAAATCTTCTTCAGAGATAAAAGGTTCCTATAAAGATCATGAAACAGAGCGAAGAGAAGTAGAAAACAAACCTCATAATTAGCAGTCCTTTTCAGTATCTCATACTTGGGTGATTCCAATTCTGGAGTCTTATAAAATCGAAGCTAAAGAGACCAAAAAATATAAAAAAAAAAAAAAACATCAGAAGTCTCTTGTAGATGATTTTCATCATATTATAACGAGAGTACCTGCTTAAATACATCCAACAACCCTTCTACAGAAAAGTAGTCGTTATTCTGTATTGAATCCCAGAGATCCTACGATACAAAAGGATGAGATGGGCTTGGATACAATGTCATAACTCAGCCACAAATTTTCTCATTCAACTTTCAAAGTAAGGAGGACGTTACCACATGACTACAGAACTTGCCCGTCTCTGGATTGATACCCATGATGGAATTTCCCGTAAAAACTAATTGTGGTTTCCATGGCAGAAGAACAAACTTCATTACCATAGTCCATCTTGTAGTTATTTCATAAGCTCCTGTCTAGAGCGACTCAATCAGTGAGATTAATATTCAAAACCAGCTCTATGAAATCATTAAACTCCCAGATCTAACTAATGAGTAATGATGGAATTGATTATAATGTGCGAGAAATTGAAGAGAATCGAACCTTTTTAACCCAGTGCAATAAGAACTCAGGCTTGAAGAGTTCTCGCAAGAGGGAAATATTGAACAAATACCCAGTAATCGTATCGTGCTTGGTAATGGGGTCCCGAAATCTCACTTGATCGTCATACGCCGTTCGATCAATCCCCTGTTCATCGAAGAGATGGGGAAGATCTTGGTATAAGAAATCCACCAATTGGTCCACATCGACCGTCGATTTTGGTGGGTTTTGATCGACCAAGCTTAATCGAACGACCCACTTGGAATTTCGGGTATGGGGTTTAGAAGGTACAGTTCTGCTTCGGGTGATTAGTCTGCCAGAATTGGGCGGCCGGAAACCGAAACCGAGTGATGGGGTTGAGAGTGCGAGAGAGTTTTGGAGGGAAAATCGAAGAGCGGCCATTTGAGCCACAACCCGCGAACTGCCATTGGGGAGGTGGGATTATTTGGAGGTTGAAGACGAGGGGGGGAGTGAATGGCTAGTCTTTGGTGAGAATTTTGTGGTGCAGAATCAGCCAAATCATATTAACAATCTACGTGTTCAAATCTGGACCATCATTCTATGAACCAAAAATAAGAGATATTCAGATTCAGCTCTTCCGTGGACGTGTTTCTGTGTTTTTCCTACACTTTTCAAAGTCAAACAACAATTTCCACAAAGTATTTGCATGTTTTATAAACATGATCAACTCTTCTGCTTATCACCTGAAAGTTCCAATTTTTATTTTCATTTAACATTCTTTTAAATTTGCTAAACATCTTTTAAATAAATTTGCTTTACTTCCAAATTAGTATGGGTTGGGATTGTTAAGAGAGACTCCCAAGTTGATTAATTTAGAAGATGCTCGCGGACTTATAAATAAGGAATACATTTTTATTGATATGAGTTTATGATCGGTGGACAATATTATATTATCGTACAGATTCATGATTCCCCGCGGTAGATTAATTAAATTTTCTTATTATTTGAAAGTTTGGTGAACGTTATTTATAAAATTTTAGTTTTTTTTTTTTTTTTCTAAAGTCTTAAAACTTTTTTTTAGTTTTTACTTTTGGGCTTCCTTCTAGGGTCTCAATGATTTAAAACATGATTATTATGGAGATATTTTCACACCTTATAAGTAATGTTTCGTTTCTCTCTCCAACTGATATGAGGTTTCACATTTCTAATCTACTTCGATTTCGAATAAGTTTTAACTCTCAGATGAAAATATATATAAAATGCAAGTGGACAAATATTATAAAAGAATGTTGAGATTAGAATTTTGAAAGATTGTGACATGAATAGAGTAAATGGTACGATGTAGACAAAACGAGAAAGCATTAGAAAGTATCGAACCCTACCGAACCATATGAGGTGAGTAGTGAAGAGGTTTGACGTTGGAGTGCCCCCACTATAAGGTGAGTAAAGAGGAAGAATGAGAATTGGATAAGCATCAAAATAATCCTACACATACACAATACAACATGTGATTAAATTCAACTCACTTCTCTCTAACCGTGGTTAAGTTGGATCTTAAATTTTTTCCACTCAAATAATTTTTTTAAATAATTATTTAAGCTCAACTCAAATATAAAATATTTGGATTGGATCGTTTATTTAATTCATTTGATTGATATAAAACTAATGAATTAGCTAATCTCGTGAACTCAACTAAATTCAAATAAGTTAATAAG